GTGACCACAGGATGCTGGAGGTGGCCGTTCAGAAAGCACAAGCAGCTCTGGACACCCGACCTTGACCTCTGACACAGAGAATAACAGTCTGATGAACTGTAGTCAAACATCGATGGCACAAGGTGACGCACTGTTCCATCTAAATGTTGATAAGTTGGTGGATTCTCATGATGAACTATATTTGATATTGATACTTGAAATGCTTAAGTTTATTCTGGTCCAATGTACTTATAACTATATGAGATGGTTCTTGCCATTATGAATTAAATAATTTATTTTTTATATTTATATTTTTGTCCACAGAAACACAGTACATTTTACAGCGTACAACTGTGGGGAGATAAGAAGTCTTAACGGTGGTTGTGCTTATGGTTGAAAGTGACTGTGTGAATATAGTGATTTGAAACAGTGCTAACTTTCAACTGTGTTATCTACTGCAAACAAAAAAAAAAACTAGAGAAAAGGAAACGTATGCAACGACATACACATTTTGTACCTAGTTAAAATAATGTTCTTTTGTAAAAATGTACCTTGTGGCACAAAAACCTGTTGTGTGACCATCTGGCTAAATATAGAGCAGAGCTGCTAGTTCCATACAAAAAAAAAATCCTTCCACTGGGGGAACCCTTTTCCCGTAGTTTTTACCCAAGCATTTGAGGGAGAAAATACAAATCGTGGGCAGCTTCAGTGCCAAAGAACACAACACCATAAACTTTCATTACATTTAGTTAGTCCTTAAACTTAGTCAAAAGGAAAATATGAAAACCACAACACAATTCCTGTGGTGCTACAGAGGGCAAAAATACATTTTATTATGATTTTATTATTTTTCTATTAGAGGGTTTGTACACCAGGAGTTTAAAATTTTGGGATAACATTAATTTCTCTGAAACTAACTGGAAGCTTTAAAACACAAAAGGAAATTTACAAAAAAAAAAAAAAAAAAAAAAAACAACCCAAAACTGAATTAGTCACAAATGGATTGACAAATAAGAAACACGTTAGAAAATGAAAATAACCAAATTTACAGGGTGCAATTAGCCCTCAAATTTTAATTTAGATAACGATGATTTTCAGAAGTGGCCTCAACATGTGATCAGAATTCATGTCATTCATGGTCAGTCATAAATGCAATGTGCCAAAGCTACCCAGCAAATTTAGTTGCTCCTCACAGACACACACACAAACACACACGTTCACTTTCACACACAGCCTCCCGCAACAAACACACACATTCACTTTCACACACAGCCTCCCGCCTACAGCTCATAAATACAGTCAATCTGATATACAAATATTTGGATAGATTTATTCGTAGAGATAATTAAAATGCAGTTTTAATCCAGACTCTGTGATCTGAAGACCCCGCCCCCTCCTTGATTTCTAAATCCCATTAAATTCCTTGGGAGAAGAAAAAGAACGCCCTCGACAAAACTGTTAAGCAGAGAGAGTTGCTGCGGTTCTGGAGGACGTTCATATAAATATCTGAAAGGAGCAAATTCATAACACTGCAGGCGTCGTCTCACTCTCAGAGTTTCAGACATTTCCTAATCCCTCCCTTTCCTCGTTAGCGACCAAAAAAAGGCAAACAACACGGCAGACCATGGACAGGCCATTCTCACACAGACGCTGATGAGCTGTAACTGCATGTATAAGTCCTGAATATAAAATGAAAAAAAAAAAAAAAAATTAAAAAGGTGTAGTTTTCTCTAATATCCCTCACACGATAATTACACAAACACACAGACGTTGGACGCAAAGAGAAACTGAAAGCTGGATTGGTGAGTATTATTTTCATACAGGGGAGAAACGATATTCGTACGTTAAATTATGTCTACATGGACGATGTGTTTGTCTGACAACAGACATGATTTACATTTCTATTTGTTTAAACCCATTAAACAACTCTTTGATTTTTCAGTTGGATTTAGGATTGAGCCCTTCGTGACCAACCCATGACTGGTAAAAATCATAGACACAGACGGTTTCATCTGTTTTGTCATGATGGAGACGCAGGACACTCTTCATGTGCAGGCGGGGAGGACAAAGTCTCTAAGACACAGAGCCGTCCGTCCACGTGCTTCACTTCATTCCGGCTGTGACATCACAATGTTCTTAAAAAGTCCGTCCGCTCGCGCCCTCTCTCTGCAGCACGGTGTTACTTCAACACTGGGTACTGGCGCTGGCCGCCCAGACGACTGGAGCGGGGTCCAACTCCGGATGGTGCACTAGTCTGGGAACAAAAGGGAGGGGGAAAAAATGTCAAAGGGAAGTCGAGTGATGAAGGCAACCGCAAGACAAATAAGAGTGTGACGTTAACTCGGGTTCACACTGAGCTCTGTTCTCCTTCTCTGGTCTTTTACCTGTGCAAACTGTGCAGGGTTATAAAAGGTGACGCCTCCCGTGGGTGCAGCTCCCTGGGCAGGATGATTCTAGAACGCACAGACAAGAGTTACCACCGTGATCAAAACCTTAGTTCTAAGGACAGAGAGGACGACTTTGAATGTGGAAATAAACAAATGCATATCAAAGAGTGAGTTCAACTGAGAGGGAAAAGACAAGACACTGCTACATTTGTATTAGTACCACATGCAAGCTACGTGATGTGTTAATGAAGCACTGTGATGAATTTAGAACAATCTCCAACATGCTTCACACTCTCATTTGTGTGTTTGAGGGTGACATGAATTATAGTTGTCACGGTCTGTCCTTTGCGCCTTTGCTCCTTTAATCTACTCAACCTTCCTCTACCTCCATGTTCTCGCCAGATTGTCTTCGCCTCCATGTACACTTTCTAGAACTGATTTGATCCAGACCTGACCTGACCTGACCTAGAACATCGCCCCATCTAAGCTTCAGTAACCCACCAGTCTCCTGTTCTGGACTACGATCCCTGCCTGTTGTTTCCAGATCCTGCCTCATTAGCTGTGGTGCTCTGTTTGCTTCTACTAAGGATGTGGTTGTGCTGCTTTCGGGTCCTTTCTATACCCCTGACAATAGTGGGGGAGGGGGTTTTCAGGTGAGAAACTTGGTGTGTTTCAGACCAGCCTCACTCAGTGAATAACAAGCTGACGGACACAACTGTCCAATGGACACAAATGTGAGGACACTGTAGAACCTTTTTTCTGGGGACCCAAAAAAAACCTCTTGCGAGCCACCTGAGGGTTGCGACCCAGTCTTTGGGAAACAATGCTGTAGAGTGATTGATATTGTTGATTGATATTGACGACTTCACCGTAGTTCTGAACGCAACTCTCGACGCATTTGACAAGCCGCCGTCATGATGCACAGTAATGGCCAAAATTATAGCTAAATGTTGATTTCTATTTTTGCAATCATTAATAAACATGATTAATTACCATCACAATCAAACACCACATGAGAAACCACATTATCTTCAGTTATATAAAGCTATAGAAACGACATATGCAACAGTTTGAAAGGCCGTGAACAAATATTTAGTTTATTTGAAATATCTGATTTTTTTAATGCTAACCAATAATCAGTGATCCTTGTGTTTCCACTGCAGCTCTCATAGACACAGACAACATAGTTAATCATTTTGGAGACAGGAGAGAGGTGAGCATGGAGCAGACACGTGTGCTTGGCTGGCAGAACCTTCATGTGCAAACAGTGAAGCATGCTATAACTGATGCAGGGAGCTGGGGGGGGAGAGGGGGGTCAGGGGTGAGTGAGCGAGCGAGCGGGGAGGGAGGGTGAGAGTGACCCACATAAGGGCCAGCTACAGGTACCTGGTTTAAATGCTGACTCACTTCACGTGATAAAGAACTCATTGAGCTAGAACGTGAGAGCTGAAGACAGCGGGAGGGAAATAAACACAAGCCAATATTAAAAAATCTCCCACAAACTGCAGTAGAGCAGTTTCCACCACCCTCCAAAGTCCAACAAAACAACAGCAATCAGAAAAGTAGGGTTTAATGAGACATGGACAGAATTAGATTGTAACAGCAAATGGGAGACATTAAAGTGCCGAGCGTTATGTTTCAGTGGCAGCATGATGACTAATATGATTGGCTACTGTTGCTGTCAAACACGAGCTTGTTTTCTCCTACCTCCCCAGACTGTGAACCATCGGGCACTGACGGAGCTTCTGGAGCAGGTGGTAACAGTGTTGGGTTGAACATCTGAACAGGGTAGAAGGAAGGAAATCTGAACGAGTACTCCGTACTTCATTTGGACAACATGACGCTTCAGTGACAGCAGGCACGTTTGTTTTTGCAAACGATGACACTGTTTACCTGTGGAGCGTTGCTGGTGTTGGGTGAATTCTGCTCCTGGGATCCGCCTTCGCTGCCCTCCAGTGGCTGTTGATCGTCAGGAGCTACGTACGTCAGAAGGAGAGAATTATTCTACCTTCCAGTTGGCAGGCGGTTTATCTTCGTCTGCTCTTTAATAATATGTATGGACTTTAGACACACACCTGAACTAGGCACGAATCGGTTTGCAGGGATGGTCATGGGGGCCAGGGGAGCAAAGATGTCCGCTGGAGCAGGAGCTAACCCACCAGGTTTGGCTGTTCTACTGGGGTTTAGAACGTCCACGTATCTGCTCTTTGTACCTGACAAAGATAGGAACGCGTTACTGTGGGGTTTTATGTTGGTTTTTTTTGATAGAAGATAGGAACGTGTTATGTTGGGTTTTTTTATCTTGAGAAAAGTTTGTGCTATCTTGAGAAAAGATTGTGCTGGCAACTGTGAAACCACATTCAGCAGAACTCACCTGCCTTCCTGGAGTGGAAGCTGTGAAATGGCAGCTGTGAAACCACAGTCAGCAGAACTCACCTGCCTTCCTGGAGAACATGTTGACAGGGGGACCACCACTAGGAGGTCCAGGAGGTCCTCCAGGGCCTCAAACAGCAGGTCCAATGGGCCCTGGACCCATCTTGGGGAATCCAATTGGAGGAGGAGGAGGGGGCTTACTCTAAAAGAGTTTAAAAAAAAAAAACAGCCATTAGAGTGTTGCCTGTAAGATGTCCAGATCTGGTCACACCGTTCCCTATAAACAATCGACATCATTTAAAAAAGCAGACCTCCTCTTCAGGCTCGTTTATGTCCACCCATCGTTTTTTCTGTTCATCCCAAACAATCTGACAAAAAAAACCAAAACATTCTCATCAGTATTGGTTTAATGAGAAACATATTTTCAAAAACAGAGAAGCTTAAAAAAAAAAAACCTACAGATTTGTTATTGTCGTCTGGCAAGTGAGCCTCTTTCTTCCCCTTCCCATAGAACCACTTCAGCCAGCTACCACCCCCACCACTCTGACAACGAGAGAACGAGATGATTAGGGAGGGGGAAACAAACGCAGGAGCACCGGTGAAAAGCGACATGCTGTTAGGTGACGCATGAACATGAACCTTCTTTGGAGACTCCTTTTTCACTTTCTTGGCCTCTTCTTTGTGTGGCTGCTCAGGAATGCAGGGTGGCGGTGGAGACGTCTGCTTCACGGCCGAGTTGCTGCGCTCTCGTCCAATTGAGTGCGTGGAGGACTCAGAGGTGGTGCGTGAGCGACGTCCGGAAATCTGGAGAGTGGAAAAGTCATGGTTTAATGATTGATTTAAATCAAGAAAGAGCTCACGGTCAGGTTATCTCAACCAGGGCTGTCAAACCATTACAGTTTTTAATGTGATAAATCACAGTGCGGCTGTGGGGTCATCACAACTTATTGACTTACCAATCAATAAGTCAATCTGCTAAAATATCTCACATTTGTCCATTGGATTTACATTATAAATCGTGTTTGGATGTTATTTTAGTTTTGAGATGATTTGGTGAAACCATTTTTCCTGAAACGAAGAATTGACTTTTTTTCAGGCCTTACTAAAGGGCTACTACGTAATTATTCAGTGGTTACTTATTTTCTAGTTTGGCTAAAATTCTGAGGATATAAAAGGACACCTTTAAAACAGAATTTGATTTGACAAACCTGCAGCGACTCAAGTTTGATCTCTTCTTAACCCGGCTCTTTTTTCAAGCGGTGAACCAAAGACATTTAAACATAAAGGTTTTTAAAAGAAACATACCATATGCACCGAGGACTGCGAAGTTGTCCTTGACCTCCCAGGACCCTGCAGATCCGGCAAAAGTTGTCAACATATTCTTCTACGATTTGTGCTAAAATGTCAACAGCATTTCAGTGAAACTTCAGTACTGACCATGTGGGCCATGTGGTCGTAGATGTCCGTCTGAGGGGTGAAGGAGCTCCGGCGTGGGGACGACGGCATCTGTTGAGCAATCTGCATGTCTTGAACAGGTGGGTGTTGCAGCGGATCTACAGGTGCCATGTGTCCAGGAGATGGGGGCATGTGCGGAGGCATCTGAAGCATAGGGGGATTCATCTGCACAGGTGTCTGTGGTACCGGACCAGGTATTTGTGGCAACATCTGGCCCATTTGTGGAGGCGGCAGAGGAGGAGGGCAGGGCTGCTGATGGGATCCTGGATACATTTCTAGATGCTCAGGCTGTGGGTGGAACAGGGGAGCAGAAAAGCCAGGATCCTGTGGAGCGTAGCCTGGCAGTGAAATCTGACCTGGTGGTCCAGTGGGAGGAACTGGATAGAACTGGGGGACGTCACCAGGGGGCAGAGGCTGAGGTGGAATCATGCCATCTTGAAGAATGGAAGGTGGGGCTGAAACAAAAAAACAGTCAGAATGAAATAAAGGCACAGTCATCCGCTTGTTCAACATGACACTTATTTACATTTACACACACACACACACCTGCAGGCATGAGCTGCACTCCCTGTGGAGGAGACCCAGGCAGTAGTGAACCCATTGGATGGTTGTCAGAAACGGGACCATCCACCTCCAGGGGTGCGTTGTAAGGTTCAAGGGGAGTGGGTTCATCTATTTCAGAGGGGCTGCTGGAGTCAAACTGGGTGGGAGTTGTTCTGTGAGCCCTGTAGGCAATGACCCCCGTCTGAAAACAACAAGAGTTTGGACGTCAATCTGTAAATGCATCAATGGCAACTGGGAATTGTAGAGGAACTGATTTAAAGGCACAATTCAAGCTGTTCTTGGATTTACTAAGATCTATAACACAACTTTCACAAAAACTAAGTATTTCATGTAGCAAGAACGGACAAATCATTTACTCGGAATATTTCACCAAATGCTACCAACAGCTTACAGTGAAATTAACCCTTTGATGCATGACCCATGATATACTGAGTTAAAAAGTGTTTTTAGACATAAAAATAAGAACTGATTTGGTTCTGTTTTTATACACCAAATTTTCTTTTTGAATGTTGACACAATTATTCTGCAGTTGCAAAGGCTGACCACTGTATGACAGTGTTGGGTGATTCTCAGGCGTCCACTGTAGAGGCGTATATGCAACAATGCCACTAAAACCTATTCTTTATTTTAATAGCTGTCCACTGTAGTTACCGTCATGCATGAAAGGGTTAGGTGTATATAAAATAAGGATGTGTGACCCAAATGCAGTCATTTTTTTGTTGCAACTTTTATCTGGTTTGTCACTGGAAACATTCTAAATTACTTTTTTTAAACTGTTTTTCTGTACTTCAACCCTCTCTTTAAAAACAAATAGAGCTTGTACTTGTACTTTATTTGTTGGTGCACGTGCTCTGTCTCACCCTGATCTGTCCGTCCAACTGTCTGAGATCAATCAGCCAGTCCGGTTCATTAAACAGTTCCTGCTCCGGCTTCTCTCTCAGCTGTGGATCGAAAAATCTAAGCTTCTCTGACATCTGTGGGGGAAAAAAATAACACATTAAATAGATACGTGTTCTTTACTGAATGAAATAAAGCAAAAGAGCAGAGTTGGAGTGAGGACGTCACCTGTATGATTTGGCTAATGAAGACAGGAGAGTAGTAGGAAGGCTGCATGAGGACAGTCTTAGAAATAACCTCACAGTAGTGGAAGGCCTGAGCGCTCAGCCCAGCTTCAGCCAAGCGACACGCATAGATTAACTTGAACACCTGAAATGGGAAAACAAAATAGTCCATCTTTACAAAACCTAACAACCTAGTGATGAAAAATATATTTAATCATTTTATCAGAACCGTAAAAAGTACCTGGAAATTGGGCAGTGAGCAGGGTTGGGATCCCAGAGACTGAGCATATTCATAGGCCTCCGTCCTCTGAATGGCTTCATTGGATGCAAATTGGTAAAAGGGTAAACTGAAAGGCAAAGACAGAGACATGGTTTCATATGTGGTTAACCTCGAGCGCTGAAAACACTCATTCAATCAGAGTTTCGTATCGAATCTAACACCTGTGATTGGAGCCGATGAGAACCAACTTGGTGCTCTTCTTTGTGTAAACACCAAGACCAACTTGGGCCATCAGGTAGCAGAAGTGTGCTGCATCAATCAGCCCCTTGGAAGCTGCAACAACATTCACATAAAGCAGAGAGTAAATAAATGTAAATCGTTGTGTGTGGAGACCAAATATTTTTAATGGAATGTCAGCGGTGCAGTCCTACCCAGAGTGTCTCCCATAGTGGTGATTGTTCGGGTATCCAAGTCCAGCGTGTGTGTGAGGTTAGACAGCACCATGGCCAGGTGGGGGCGCCAGTCACCCCACTTTTCCTCACCGCAGCACTAAAGGAACGATGAAATAGTATAAACTACCCTGACTCTAATTTAGTCAGTTAGAAAATCAATGAATTCAACATTAATAAATCAATAAAATGAGTATTAAATAAACACTCTGTTTCGCACGTGACATTTACACAGGAATGATGTATAGTAAACACACTCACAGTGGCAGATGCTGGCATCCTTCCAGACATCAGCTGGTAGACCGTCTGGAGCGGGTCATTGATGGGCAAACTGTTGGCAAACCTGAACAACAACAGAGAATGTTGTAGATGTTACTTTGATGAACACAATACGGATCAATAAAAGACACTTTTGTGTGTCTCCCATTTTACCTTGTCATAACACGTGCATGGGTCCTGCTGTCCATCTTACTGGCCAACAACAGGGCATGGCCCCAGAGACCTACCTTCATGGCTGCTTCGAGTGCGTCCTGTTCCACAGATAAAAGTGAAAAGTCCGAGGTCAGAAGATGACGTCAGACTTCAGCGGCAGTAAGACAACATGTAAAACACTCCCTACTTTTTTGCGGCCAAACAGGAGCAGCTCCCTGAAGCGTTCCGTTTCTTTGCCCACATTCTCTGGGACGGTCATCACAGTGTCAGACAGCAGAGACAGAGGTCCAGCTGCTGGGTCTTCCTCAGCATGTGCCAAAGGTTCATTGGTAAAATCGATCAAGTTGGCTTCATTTGGACTTTTGCCCGGTAGCCAAACAGAGCGATGCTCCTTTAGCAGGAGGTCAGCGATGTCTGTGCCAACCACAGTCTAAAGAATGAGGAAAAAAAAAACAGTATGAGAATGAAAATGTACTTTTATACAGTTACAGTCATATTTTTTAACCATTAACATTCTTTCAGATTTCCTATAATGACTACAGGCTCACCCCATTCTGTCTGCAGAGCAGGACTATGAAGTCCCACAGCAGACGGGCCGAGTCCTTGTCCAAGAGATTGTTGTCTCGAGAACATTCCAGGGCTTTGTTCTGGGAGAACTTTATCACATCCACCTTATGGGTTTCCTCTCTGATGAAAGAGTCGGGTTGGTTAGTTAGTAAAAACATAGTGAAAGGGCACTTCGCTATCAATTCACTATTTAAAGTACACCATCTTTTACAAGTAGATGTTAAAATGACATACTGAACCTATGTTACTATGTAGTAGGGGAATGAATACCCTTTGTAAAAAATTGAAAATTGTTATTTCGACTTACCGTAGTAGGGGAATGATTAAAATTGAAAATTGTTATTTCGACTTACTTCAGCAGAGGTCCAGGGAAGGTTCTTAGTTCTGCCTGATCTGGAGTATCCTGTAGCAGTGTCTGCAGACGTAGATTTGGTTTTGAATCAATCAATTTAGCTAACTTACCTAACTTAACTTGGTATATCTACTGTAATATGTACTGTGAAAAAATGATCACATTATTTAAATCCGACTATAAAACAACCTGCGTGATTTATCTATAAAAGCACGTGGAAACACTTTAGTTTGAAAGTTAAATGTTTTAAAGGTTTTAAGTACCGTGCACACACCTCAAGACTATTGCATGTCTCTGTATTGTCTTTGAAAGTAAATGGAGTGATGACATCATCAATTTACAGTATCATAATCACTTTTGCATGTTTGTCACAAATGGTGGAACGTCAACATTAACAAGTTGTTGGAGAAACAGTTGTACGATCAGGAGTACATTCAAGAGTAGTTTCAAGTTCAAATAAAGACACTGTACCTCTATGCTGTGGATATCAACAAGTGCAGGCTGTCCATATGAAGGCAGATTAGGCAGAACCTGAACCAGGTGACCACCGGGTCCAAAGCGTGCACAGCGGTGGGGTATGATAAACTTCTCTGGGGTTGCAGGGCGAGGCGGAGCTGAGAGAAAAACAAAGACCAGGAGTATTGGACCTGTTGACGCCTGAAGTTTTCATATCAAACAGCACAGACTGTCTTGAAGCAGAAACTCTTCTTACGCTGCTCAGGGGCGACCCAGGTGCTGTCTGCTATGTACTCAGGTGGATAAATGTACTGGTTGTAGTTTTGGGAAGCATCAGCTGCATTTGGGTATTGTCTATAGGAATAGTCTCCAGCAAGTGTGGAGGATGTGGTATCATACACTGCTGACACTAGATCAGGCTGACTCCTGTACGCTTGGCTCTGCAGAAAGAAGGACACGGACATTAGAAATAGAGGCAGACTAATATAAGTTAATGACATGAAGTATCATCAGTAGCCATGGTATTTGGAAAACGTGGTACCTGCTGCGACTGTGAGCTGAAGCTGCTTCTTCTGCTGTGGTTGCTGTGAGAGCTGTGCACACTGTGTGCCGACTGCTCACTATGGACGCTGCGTCGATCGAAGTCGTTGCCATACATTTCAGCACGCCTGTTGTAATCGTCGTCAAAACTGGGATCGTAACCAGGGTAGTAGCGCCACTGTTCATCATAGCCGTCTTTCCTGTGAGTGGACGCAAAAGTCAGAGACACGAGAAACACAGGTACACGGGGTGCAGACCACGTAGGCAGCATCTTCATTAACAGTTCCAGAAAAATACTCTGAGTCTACTACATACCTGGCAGGGTACACTTGCTGATTATAGTAGTTCTCCCTGCCTCTGTAGCTTTCATCATAATTAGACCAGTAGGACTGATCGTAGTATCCTCTGTATCGTGGGTCATACTGTCCATAATTGTATCCTTCATACAGATTAATGGAGACCAAGAGAGGGACAGAGACAGAGAAAGAGAGAAAGGGTCATGATGAAATCACAAATCCTTTACATAGAATTCAGTTTTTGCCCTTTTATCTTGTAAAAAGTGGGAGAGCAGAGAAACGTCCTACTATAAGACTCATACCTCTGTAATCATAGTTCTTGGAGTAATTGGCATAATACTCGTCGTAGGCACTTCGGTTTGCTCTGTGATAATCTTCAGCGTAGCCTTGTCTGTGAGAGAGGAGGACAACGGATTCAGTGTTAACACAAACCAGGAGTGACCAAACCAGCTGAATCTTCCATAATGTACCTGGACGAGGGCCGGTCAGAGTACTGACTCGCCCTGGAGCTGGGCCGTTCTGGCTGAGGCTCTCTGTACTGGTAGTTTGGATCACGATAAGCTGAGGTTTGACCTTCGTATCGGCCCCTGCCATCTCCTGAGAGATAAAGACAGAAAAAAAACATTTTATTCATTTATGTACATATTATTACACATTATGTACACATATATGATTTATAAATAAAACAAGGACCTGAGGAAGTCAAATTGAAAATGCATGAAAGGTGTCCTGGTGTCAAGACAGTTTATTTAATTCATGTAGAATATTAAGGACTTACTTGATAGTACTGTGGTGCTCTTGGGTCCCCAGTTGGAGGTGGGTATTGACCAGGAGGATATGGTGCTCTTCCGTCTGGGTATTCTCCATAATAACCATAATAGCCACCATATAAGTGTCCTGGCATTGGAGGTTGTGGGGGGGCGTAACCTTGCTGACTACCTGCAGTGGAGGGCGGCCGCGGTGGATCTGCGGGAGCTGGCTGTGGAGCTCCAGGTGGCACTGGTCCTCGAGGCCCGGGAGGATACGGAACAGGAGGACAGTCCCCTGCAGCAGACAAGGGTGGCCCTGCTGCTGGTAGAGCTGGATACCGACTGTGTGCAGGCTGCCCCCCGCTGACAGGAATAGGAGGACCATCTCCTTGTCCATGATGTAGCATTTTAGGCTGTGATGTCTTAGGGGGTTCATTTGGAGGTGGCGCTGTATTTGAAGCTGACTGGGAGGTTGTTGGTGCTAATTGTGGGTTAGATGAAGGGTCTGGGGTCTGGACAGGGGCATTAGTGTTGGATCTTGCTCCCTGCTGACCATCTTTGGTTACCTGTAGATAAAATCCATTACTAGACTGTGGAGACTCGTGAAGAGAGGAAGGATGGCCAGGCGCTGGGTTTTGAGATTGGTGCATAGAAAAATCAAGCAGTTCATAATTTGAAGGCGGTTTGTGATTACAGACAGAAGCAGCAAGAGAAGCCTGTGAATTAACTGGAAGAGAAGAGTGGTTTTCTGATTGGCCCCCTGAAAGAGGAGGGCCAGTTGAATGAGGCTGTGGCGGACATGTGATTTCAGGTGTTGACGCCTCTGTGTTGTCTCTGGTCAGGTTGAGTGGACCCTGGTTAGGGACTGGAGAGTTGAAGCTTATTGGTCCAGAGGCAAACAACGGGTTTAAATTAGAGGCTGGTGGTGATTGGGAGGAACTTGCACCTTGACCCTGTGCAAGTGATTTCACAGGTGGGGCAGTTTCACTAGGGCTACTTTGATTGGCCGTTTGAGATGGAACAGTGGGGGAAATCACACTATAGTTTGACACAGGAGGGGCAATTAAAACAGATTGGTGGAGTGACTCAGACACCAGAAGAGATGCATATCCCATGTTGCCTTGAGAGTCAGCTGACTCTGCATCACTCACCTTTGGAGGGTTCTCTAAGTTCTCTGAAGGTTGTTGTAAGCTTGGCTGGACTCTCTTAGAAGGCTGCAGGTCTAGGGGACTATCCTCAGGAGGTTGAATAACATCAACACTCGGTTCTCGTAAAGGGACAAGAACTACTGGGGCAGCAGGAGCTAAAAGGATGTTAGCGCCCAAGCTTGTAGGATCATTTTGAGCCCACAGAGTGGTGGCAGGGCTCTCACACGGCCGACTTGCCCCAAATGCACGGGATGATGGTCTCGAGTGGGAATGAACCACTGGACGTGTTGGATGAGGCACACCACCTCCAATCATAGGAGGCAAGGGCTGTCCTCCACTGTAAATATTTTCCAAATTGTCTGGTGGCTGCTCCAGGTTGCCAGGTGTTGAGTCTGCACCTCCTTCTGCTACAATTTTAGCCACATCAACCTCAGCTGGACGTACCCCAACACCATGTGAACGAACAGGTTCAAACGAGCTGTTAGCACTGGCCTGAAAGACACCAGTTGGTTTGGGTGGGCTCGGTGTTGGATGCCACATTTGTTCTGAAGTGCTCTGTCTTGCACCTGTGTCTGGGGAAGTGTCAATTTGCTCAAAATAGCCACCGGTCGCAGCAGAGAGGTTAGGATCATCCGTGAGACGAGGACTTTCTTGTTGAATAAATGTCCCCACTACTCCTTGATGTCTCCGAGCACCAGTTCCACTTCCATGGCTCATATTGCTGTAGTTGGAGGACACACTGGCAGATCTAATTGGCCTTGGAGCAGAATCTGGAGTTTCCAGGTTAGGCCCTGTTTCAAACTGGTCTACTTCTTGCACTGCTGGAGCTGCAGGACTTCCAAGGGTTTCACTTGGTAATACTTCCTGGTTCGGGACACACTCTAAATTCTCCACATGGTCGTAGTGAGAATCAGGAGGTTTCTGGATGTTTAAGGGTGGCCCATGAGTGCCATCGTTCATATATGGTACATAAGAATGTTCCTGGTGAGAAGCACTGTGATAATCCAAAGGGCCATCTGTGTGGAAACTATGGGCTTGTGGGTTGTTGTGGTGTTGAAAAGGTCTGGGAATACCATTCACCGCCTTATTTCTATCTCCAGCAAGTGTCTCTTCATTTTCAACATCGTCTTTGAAGAACATTGATAGAGTGCCAGAGTCCTGGGAGTACGGCACAAAAGCAGGAGCAGCGCACGCGCCCTGCTCATCGCACGGAGCAGGCTGTAAGTCACCGGAGTCAGTTTGAGGCTGAGAGTGGTCTGGTCCAGTGCCCATTTGATGGTAGCCTGAGTCCTGTGGAGGTTGACTGAACCAGGACTCATGGGCAGTAGAGCTCTGACTGAAATAGTTTTGAGTTTGCAGATGTGAATTTTGCTGAAAGGATGCATTTGGGTCAGGCCATTGAGGACTTGGAACCATTGGCAGGTTTGGGGGAGGAAGGGGCATCTGCATATGGGGATTGACTGGTTGCGATGGAGGAGTTGTTGTGTTGTGGTGAGGTGACGAGGCATGTGGTGGGTAAACCTGGGGCTGTGGAGGCACACTATAAGGCTGCAGTTGCTGTGGTGGAGGGTCACTGGTAGGCTGGAAGTAGTTTTGAACTGACGGAGGTCGACTTACATGATCGGGGGCCCATTGTGAAGAGGAGGTGGTACTTGGGGGAACTGTCTGGGGAGGACCAGGCCTGGGACATGGCTGCCCAATAAATCCTTGGTTCATCTGGGGCTGACTGAGTGGTGGAGCAGAAGAAACCCGCGGCGGCTCTGCGGCAGTAGATGGTGGCTGTTCTTTTGAATTGAAATAACCATGTTCTGTGTGGGAAGCTGCATATCCGGCAGGATTAAGAACTGGGAAACCAACAGAGGGGGCTGAAATGTGAGGATTGAAAAGAGTCACCCCTGGACCAGAGGATGTTCTTGGACCAGAGGCAGCAGCCGGGACATCCTCAAATGTCTGAGGTTGTGGTGGCAGCCCTCCACCTGCTTGAGAATACATGGTGTTAGGAGGGGCTTGCATGGGCGGAGGGTTGCTGCTCGGCAACAAAGGAAGACCTCCTGGAGCCATAGGAGAAGGTGCTCTAACAAAAGCAAAAGGGTCTGTCATGGGCTGTGTCACAGGTTGCATTGCTGCAGTGGCAGCCGCTGTGTGTTTGTGAGGCCTTGTCCTCCGGAACATATTGGGCCCAGAAGGAGGAGGGGGTCCAGTGGCTCCTGGAGGTCCAATACGCTGAGGGGGCTGCATGGCCACAAGCAAAGGTCCGTGGACCTGGTCACTCTAGAGATGTCACCGAAGAGACTATAACTCAGGTGAAGCTAGATTGAGGATAGGGAAGAGGGAGCGGTTAACAAAACATTTCTGATGGACGTAACCACACCCTTATTTGTACACACAATTTCAGATCCTACATAAATAAAAAGAACAACGTGGCATGTTCTACATCCGTTAGGAGATTGCCTTAGTAATACAACATAAAATATGCGTAATGAAGAACAGACTTGAACAATTATTTTGAAAGCAAAATTGTAATAAGCTGGACTTGGACTCGTGCATTTGCCTTATGAAATGTACCACCACTTCTGAAAGAGTAAAGAAAAGTATCTTAAATTGAGATTAAGTCCTTTCTTCATTTCACAGTAGGGCATTTCACAAAATGCTATATATATATAAATAATATACATATACAGTATATATATATATATAATTATATATTACAAAATGCAACAAATACACACACATATAATGCTATAATATTTTAATTCCAATTATTTTAAAAAGCAAAATTCTGTTTCTGAGCAATTTAACTTCAGCTTTTCATCATCACACAGAATTAGAACCACTATCAGTTTAGTGACTCAAACTACTAAAAGTTGACTTTTAAACAGTACAATCAACGTAGAACTTTACAGGGTTTACTAACATAAACCCTGTGATGAAACTATGGGTGACGAAATGTTAATAAAGTACTGTCGGAGTGTGCAATTTCTGTTCTTCTTCTGATCAGTGGGACACTGAAGCCACAAAAATGTTTCGATGGTTTGGACTGCTGACAATGCCCTGACTGACGATAACACTGCCAGACGAGTGGATCTGTAGCAGGATCTTTTAGGGCAGCTAACACCGAGCCACGCTGTCAAATGTTTGACATGTTTGAGTCTATGCCCTGAAACAAAGCGGTGGATAACATGTCGTTTAGGCCAAAGAGGCTGCCTGTACCAACGCGATCCCGGATCTTGTCATAAATCCGGATTACAGTTTTCACTCAGCCGTGAGCTAACACTAGCACATTCCAACTTCAAACTTTATCGATAATCAACACGGACCTATGCTCTCGATAACAGCAAACACATGTCCGTGGCCTTGAACTGCATTTCTGCCATTGGCACCGAACTGTTGCACTGCAGAATCTTTGTTATTCTTTTGGGGCAAGTAAACGTCTAAAATCTATACTGACATCTCCGTGGAAACTGTCACCAGAACGTCAAAAGTTCTTGTTGTCAAAAGCCTAAACGCTCTGTCACAATTCGGGAAAATACGCGAAGCCCAATTGCAATGGCCCTCGGTCACTTTAAGCCATTGTTACATATTAAGCTGCCTAAAAGAAAATGTCTAAGAGCTCGTCTCGTCAGCTAACGGGAAAGCTACACAGCTCTGCATGACCCGAACGCATCACAGTCAGCAAAACACTGGGAGTTTCCAGAGCTAGGACTTTACTACTGAAGGTCCCAGGAGCAATGGCGCAATATTCATGACTATTTAAATCGACACAGACTCACTCACAGACACACACACGCAGACTTACAAGTAACTGATCACTCGCCGGATAAAATTTAACAGGTCCACTGTCTGTACATTTAGCAGTTAGCATTAGCCACCGCTGATAGTTAGCACCACCGGCTAACTATCCTTTGCTAACAACCGACTAACAGTTTCAGTTCGGCCGCAGAACATGTGTTTAACCAATCAGCATACGTGTTAATACGTGAACACATCAAATCTCACGACTGGTGATAAACATGTATAAAAAGAAATACGTTCTTACAAATGTGCCGCAGAGTTAGTATGACCCACCGCCACCATCTTCATTAAACACATCCTACTAGGCGACGTGTACATGCAACGTCACGGGCCAAACAACGGTTGTGTCATTAAGGGGCGGGGTTTCAAAAAGGTGCATTCAGTGTTTTTTCTTTTCTAAAAACTGTGCAACATTGACTCGTGTGTGGATATTTAATTTCTGAGAACAGTAGGATTTTAAGTAAGTTATAAATTACTGCAGTGATGTAGTCCATGGATTGTGATAACACATTAAAGGCCACAATACTTTTTCCCACGATTTATGTGGTATTTCAGCTCATAAACCACTAAGATACACAGTTTGCTATTGTAGCAATATAAGATCTTTTTATTTTTATGTTGTTGCGTATTTTTTTTATAAATCAAGCAACACTGCAGCGTATTGTTGTGTTGTCATACTATATGTATTTTTATATGATGTGGCATTTATCACCAACGGGGTAATATTGTGTTTTTATACCACATTTTGAAGTGCTTTAAAAGCACAAAACAATGCAGAGAGACTGCCTCTTATATGGAACTGTATGTAATAAGTGTCGTTATATGCGAATTGATTGTGCTATGAATGCTATTTGTCCACTAGAGGGCACTATGTGACATGTATTTTCTCATTGAGCAACCATTGAATAACAGTTTCGTTATCATAATTTGCAGCTTTTTTAACATATTTAACCTTTAAAACTTGAAACGTAATGGGTAAAATTTATTTTTTGAGGTATACAGGACGACTAAGAGGAAATTAATAGACGGAAGACAATGAAAGTAGGCTAGGTTTGTTTACTATTAAACTATTAAATTGTTATTCTTAAAAGAGGATTGGATAAAGACCAGATATTCTGTACTTAATATATGTTTTTAACTTTAATGAAATCATAAATATCATGCTTATAAATTAGGTATAGATTGCATTAAATGATACCATCTTCGTTGGTACAACTGGTATAACCTAATATTTCATAACAGTTTCACTTCAGAAACAAAACAGTAAAAGAAGGGTGCTGTAAAGGGGAGAAAGCACTTGACCACAGTGCGGAAGTTAATCTTTTACATGTATCGATAATTTGTTCCCACGCTTTTTTCCCCGCTACTTTTGCTCAGACTTGTCTGGTGAACACGGGTAGTTGAGGCAGGTTAGAACAGTACTTCAAGTTTACACCCAAACCTCTCCAGGTTGAATGCCCAAATAATAATCATTTATAATATAATATGTTTTTGTTTAGTCAATCGTCTTAATACCTGATATGATGTCAAAATAGTTCGATATACAATATACAATTTCGAATGTTTGAAATATATTACTAATGTATTTAATGTGACAGGTTGATAGCAAATAAAGAAACTGATACAAATACATTTCTTATTTTATTAGAATTTGAAAATATACGATCCTGTAATACAATATACTGATCTGTACATTTTAATGTTTACATATTCTGCTATTTCCTTTTTTACTTTTTAAAAAGTTTTCATTTAAAATTCCTTACTACTGTAACAATACAAACAATTAGACCTGGTAAAAACTAATTTGTTAAGTTAAAGTGAGGTCTGCAGACGCTGTCAGATTTGATATAAAACAAATCAAGTATATCTAAGGATAGAAGATGACTTTGCAAACACATCATTTATCCAAACGGCGCTATTCGTTTGTGTAAGCAGTGTCTGTTTATCGCAATGTGAATCTTTGTCCACGACCACCTAGACCAGGGTTGGCCTATGTTTGTTTAACTTTGGTGTAAACTACTGATAAGGCATGTTGTACCATGTTAGATATATATTTTTAAACATATATTCTTTCTTAAAACTATAAAAAGTTTTTAAAAATTCAAACATTCTTAAATTTTGCAGTAGTAGATGACTAATATAAAAATTCAGTCTTTTTAAAAAAGAAAAGATGACATTTAAGTCTGCAGTCCCATCTCTCTCTCTCACACACACACCCACACACTCTCTCTCTCTCTCTCTCTCTCTCTCACACACACACACACACACACCTCAAGTGATCTCAAGGATAGCATGGACGGGTGTGAACCTGGTTTTCTGGATGAAAAGATTAGGATGATGAAGGTATCTGTAACGCTCCATTAACGTTCTCTTCTCCATTCACTGTGCACGGAGCCCAAACACAAGCACAGACAACACGGTCTCCAACGTTGTACACACGGCTTCTTCCACTCCGAAGGTAGAGAAATGTATGGAACAACTATGCATTTTCTTGAAATGTTCATTTGTGACCCAGGAAAGAAGAATTGGAAAACATTGTTTAGTAATTGAAGTATTGTTTTGTAATACCTCCTTCCACCACCTATTGGCGATGTGGTACTGAAACGACAGTTTCTCTTCCTCCTCTTTACTTAGTGATGTTCGATACCACCAATTTCCTTTCCGATCCGATACCGAGTAAAATTCGGGCTGGTATCGCCGATACCGATATCAATACCGATATTTTATCATTTGTCTTTAAGAATCCAAGGCAGAGTTTATTTATTTATTTATTTATTTAAAACTCTGGAGTGTACTGAGGTAGCTGCCTCATTTACTATACAGTCAACACAACAATAGAAAACCTTGAGAACACAATCATATAAAATATGTCAAAACAATGTTTCAAACTCTGAAAACATGTTATTTGTAAAACAAAAATAAATAAAAAAATAAAATAAATAATCTGAGGAGCCATTTGGGACCCGAAAGAGTCGGATTTTTTCAGTGAACCGAGCCAAAAGAACCGGTTCTCCAAAAAAGAGCCGAAATTCCCATCAATAGTGACTGAGTGAGAGCACGGAGTAGAGCCCCTGTGCTTAAGCATGACGCACACACCCAGGCGGAAGAAGAAGTAGTCCCACCAACCGAGCGTCACTTAGACAACATCTCAATAATTTGGATACTTTTCACCATGTTTCTGTTTAGGATACACCTCATCTCAGAATGCGAAAGTATCAAAAGTATCGATATTTTGATTTCAGAATCGATTTCAGAGCATAAAGATCTAGAATCGGAAGTATCGATATTTCAGGATCGATCCGCACATCACTACTCTTTACTCCACACCTGCACTTGTTTGGACCATCATAGATTTGCATTTATAAACAAGTGTGAAAAACATTGGATTTTTAAACGATACACGCAGGTACACAGATTAATATATTAAATTATGTTTTACTTAATAAAAAAATGACAAAGACCTATAAGGAAGGGGTTGTAGTCAATTATTTTTGAGGAGCTGTGAAATATATTTAGCGATAAATTACTAATATTGAAAATAAGGCATGATAAACATGACTTCAGTAAATTAAGTGTTTGCTAGCATGATGCTACGTGATTTATATACGTTATCATACGGGAAAGAAAGAATTGCAAAATCGTGAACCTCATTGGTCCATGCTGATTGGTAGCTGCTAGTCTGCTGTTTCAGTGTGGAGTATTGCCTGTAACACCAGTGAAAAGAAGCGGAGAGTGTAAAATGAAACAACAGATTGAAGGGCATTTACCAGAGTGCTCCGGTCGTTAGGGTATATGCAATTATCACGTTACCGAATTAGCGCTAATCTTGTTTTGAATGAGAGTTACGGAAAGAGATGATGTTGATAGAAAGTAATGTTTTTACAAGTGGCAGAAGCAGCAGAGGAAAAGACGAAGGGACAGGCAAAGTGGGGGAGAGTGAGGACGTCACATCTGTTCCTGCCACTCCCTAGGGGTCCTGGGAGCATGGGAACCTTCAGCAGCCCCAGTGTGAGCATCGGTCTTCACAAACTGCACTTCATCTATCAATCTCAGAGGTAAATGGAGCTTTATGTGGGTTTGAAATTTACTAATACGAGTTTGATCCCATCATCCAGTTGTGAGATAAAGATAAACTCAGCAATGTTTGTGCCAAGGGATCAGCAAATTTGTTTTTATATATAAGCGTCTGTCATCAGAATGTCATGTCCGTGGTCTGTTCTCTTTGTGTAAATACATCCATTAAAAGTATCTCCTGAATCCGGAGCTTCCTGTCTGCGGCCTGCACAGTCTTCACTTTGCCAAAGAGGGTTTTATGTTTCCCTCACTCGGTCTCGTGCGGGCCCCCCAGAATGGTGAGCACCAGACTTTAATAAGCCATTTCACAGAGGTCAAATCTCCTTTCTCCACGGCGTCAGCTGGGTTGCCCCGTTCACCCTTTCCTCACCCTGTGGCATGTGTTCTGCCCAACGTTGTTTACTGGACTGAACATTTAGAGGGGTTAACGTTTCACCACGGCAGCTGTTGGCACCATGTGCCTCCCCCTCAGGCGGCTGGCCGACAGCACGCAGACCACTGCTTCACACACCCTCCTGCATCCCCCGGAGGACTTCTCCGTCCTTCCTCTTGATCCCATTACTTGGCCTTGAACATGTATCAGATGCCATTTTAATGCAAAGACACATCACTAACTTTAATCAGTGACTCAGGGCTAGTTCATACCACGGTTTGAACATCACCTCGTTCTGTGAGTGGTTTCACAACTGCATCAATAACTAGGGTTAGAAATAATACGTTTGTTTCAGTCTGTGAAAATATTGAAGAACTTTGTCCTATAATCCGACATGTTTAACGTAGTACGTACCATACCGACTGTGTGAATGCTTTATATCATTGTTTCCCAAACACCGGGTCCCAACCCTCAGGTGGGTCGCAAGAGATTGTTTTTGTTTTTTTGGGGGAGGGGTCATCTCGCATCATGTTTCCAGGAGCTCACAAATAAGGTCTACTGACCTGAGTCACGAAGGTTTGTGACTTTTAAAATATGGGTCCCCAGAAAAAAAGTTTGGGAAACACTGCTTTATATGATGAAATTTACATCCGGTGGCCATGAAGCCTGAAGGCCAGCTGTAATCTTTGGTCTGTGACTAATAATCACTGACTCACCTAACACTGTTTAAATCCTAGTGGTCTCCAGTGGTGAGTTTTTTCCGGGTGGGTGAAGCCAGTCATTTTACAGTTGGTCACTGAGCAAATTTGATGTCAAAGGTCCACAGCTAATACTACATTAACAAGTTAGCTACAATGTGAAATGTGTGATTTATTTTTACTTTTTAAATGTAGAATTATTTGGTACATCAAACAATATT